GCGCCAACGAGGATCCAAACAGAGTAGTTCAGGGTTGCCGTATATCATAAGCAGATAACGAGGCCGAGAAATTGCGAGTTTGGTTGATCTTTCGTTTCGTATGAATCCTAATCCATGGTGCATATCGTCACGTATATGCTCCTTGCTTGATCTCACTCCTGAGATTAATATTATATCGCGTTTCTAAAAACAACTAAGCGAAATCAACATTAGTATTAACTCAAACATTAGTGTAATTTTACGAAAGTTATACCTGTCCTTGGAATTCCTCCACAAAACCAATTTTAGGCATTGCTACGTCGGCCTGAACAAAGAGTTTGCGCAAATGTTTAACCCGTTTCATGTACGGGCTTATGATGCCAATAGATTCAGCTTTAATGTTTCTTCGATACAGCTTAACCGTCATTAGGAAGATCTTGAAAAAAAAAAAATAAATTTTATAAAATACTAGATAGAAGGGATTGTACTTTTAAACTAATTACAACTTACCTCCTTCGCTTCATAAAAATTACACCACGAGGGCGCGTCGTTTTCCTGCCCATCTGCAGAACGTATTCCGTGGAAGAACATGCCATGTGTTTTGGCTCGAGTTGCAGATTGCGGCAGCAAATCGTCAAGTTGGGTCAGCAAGTAGCGCTTTTCGGTTCTTTCTTATCACACTTCATATACATATTATTGTATTACTTTTTACACTACAAAATTTACTCTTACTATAATGTACTACTATGTACTGTTCTAGGCTACATAACGGACGAGTAGTATAGAAAAATGAATAAAAAACGTGGCAAACATATAACACACAAAATTAACAAAACATTAATTAAATATGGTTTAATTACGAAATACAAAAAAGCAGTAAATAAATAAATATGATAATAAACAAATAATGATAATTATATACGTTAACCTTAACTTTATTAAGACGCAAGCAAAGAACTTTATGTTCGCATTGGGCCTTTTTTACACACTCGTTTTTTTTTTCGTTTGTTGATTTGCTGAATAACAAAAGCAGAAGAAGAAGGCACAGCTGTTAAGAAAGAAATATTTGTATATAAAAAATGTATTATTTGGGACAACAACAACAACTAAATTCACGGTCGTGACCGAACGTTTCTATTTCCTCAGTCTTGAAAACATACGCGCGAACGGTTATTAGCATATTTATGTAATATGCCAGCAAAAATCAGTTAACGGAGCCCACGTTTAAAATCAAATCGGACCGCGATTTTAATTTTTTGGCTATTAGAAAAAAAAAATTCCAAAGTTTAGTTTTTATGCAAAATTGAAAATAGTTATTGTTAAGTGGAAAATGTTATCTACAAGAAATACTTTATGTTGTTTGGCGGAACATCATCTTTTAATCGGTAAACGATATGGAAGTGATCATAAAGTCTTCCAAGTCTATACAGAACGTCTGAAGTCTGGTGTATTGTTAATGGATAAAACTCAAGAACATACCGCTAAAATGTTAGATAGCTTGTATGCCCAAATACAAAGTTATCAGCCAACCTCGATGACGCCAAAGATTGGTGGTGGTTTCTTGGGTAAATTACTTGGTAGAAGTACAAATGGTGGCGCGGTGCAGTTAGTTAACAAAACCTCGCCTCAGGGACTATATATATGGGGTAACGTGGGCGGAGGAAAGACTACTTTAATGGATTTGTTTTTCGATTGTTGTACAGACGTAAATGCTAGTTATTTTCACAAAAGTTCTTATAAAACCTGCTCTTTATTATGCAGATTAAACATAAAAATAGGGTTCACTTCAACGCGTTCATGACGAACGTGCATGCACGAATTCATGAAACGAAACTGCAGCAGGGACCGTCGCTTAGAATATCTGATGTTGAAAATCCTCAACCCTTTGACCCGACATTGCCAGTTGCTAAGGCAATAGCGCGAGAAAGTTGGCTAATATGCTTCGATGAGTTCCAGGTCACTGATATAGCTGATGCTATGATTTTGAAAAGTTTATTTACGCATCTCTTTAATGAGGGAATTGTTTGCGTAGCCACTAGTAATCGTCATCCTAAGGATCTCTACAAAGATGGTTTGCAGCGTAGCAACTTTTTACCATTTATTGATATACTGCTTAACCGTTCCAAAGTGGCGAATATGGACAGTGGCGTGGATTACAGAAAAATAACCCAATCAGGTGATACAAATTACTTTGTGTAAGTTTGATTAATTGAGCAAAGAGACAAATAGAAGCTATTTTGATTCTGTGTTTTACAGTAAATCGGAGACAGATACAAAAGTCCAAATGGAGAGAATGTTTAAAATATTATGCTCCCAGGAAAACGATATTGTTAGAGAACGCACTATAACTCATTTGGGACGTGATCTTAAATTTCAAAGTGCCTGTGGTCGTGTATTGAACAGTTCGTTTAAAGAACTTTGTGATCGGGTACTTGGTACATAAAGTATTCGATGACCATATGTAACATATTTCTTAAATTTTCCAGCCGTTAGCAGGCAATGATTACTTACAACTCGCCCAAGTATTTCATACTGTTCTCATACACGATGTACCTCAGCTAACATTACGTATGAAATCTCCCATGCGACGATTTATCACTCTAATCGACACGTTCTACGATAACCACATACGTGTAGTTATTTCGGCTGATGTACCGCTGGATAAACTGTTTAATTTTAGCGATAAATCGAGTGGTTTGGCAGATGATCAACGCGTACTTATGGATGATTTAAAAATCTCGTTGGGCTCGGTAACTAATATGCCTTTCAAAAGAATTGAGTTCTTTTAATTTCTCTTATATTTAATTTAAAATTATAGAAAGATGCCGGCGCAAACGTTTTCACTGGCGAAGAAGAGTTATTTGCTTTCGATCGTACCATTTCTCGTCTCTATGAAATGCAAAGCAAGGTCTATTGGGAAAAATGGGCAAAACCCCATTAAGACCAGCGCAAAATGTTTATCTGTGTTCAAATTTTAGTGAAAATTTTTCGATAAAGTACTTAACAAAAAAAAAAAAAGAAATGCAAATTCTTGTTATTAAGGAAGTATAAGAAAGAATTTATTAAATGAATATTTTTCTTATTGAATATATGCTTTTTAATTGGAGCCAAAGGAATGCAAAGGGTGTTTTTTTAGGAATTATAATTGCGGAGCCTGTGCAGCGCGTTTTAAAATTTTTCATAAAGGTCAAAAGTTATTCAACCATTCCCAAAAACTATAACATCAAACAATTTTTCGATTTGCTGCGCAGCAGAAGCAGTTACGTGCTTACACCTTTTATAATCATTTTCTAATGAAAAAAAGTTGTTTTTTTGTATCAATGGTACTTTAGCCATAGCAAATGTCGCTGAGAAAGTACAAATTTTGCCTTAAACCACTATACCCTCTTACTTGTTACCGAAAAATTTGTTTAAAATAATATTAGTGGAACGATATAGAAGCATTTTATAATATATATGATTTTTAACATGATAACTTTTTTACTGTCAGTCCGTCCGTGTAGTACTCTCCTGTTCGCAAAAATTCGGCTTCAAATTTAGTAGAAACACTGGAAATTTTTGCCACTTTAACAGCTCGTCTGAGAAAATTTCTCGTTTATCGAAACGTTGCAATTTATTGAAAGCAACTCGGCCCTCTCTCTATTTCTACTTTTCCTTGCATTTGTTTGCCATTTCAGTTACGATATTCGCTTTCTTATTTCTGACAGGTCTTAACATATATTTACAATTTTTAATATTTATTTCTTTATGTATTATCGGCATTAACTGCATTTAACATATGATTTCAAAGATTGCTTTCTTCTTCTTCTTTACGACCTCTTTGACTTGCTTGACATAGTCTTATTTTTGACACATGCTTGACACTTAGAAAAAAAAACCAATAACGGTCTTTTTAGGACAACCCATACAAATGTTACGTAATGAAGAAACAAGTGAAAAGGTTAAAAATTGAAAATAACTGAATTGAATTGAAAGTATTGAAAAGAGTTAGCGTAGAGTAGAGTACGTTTTTTCTTATTTAACTTACTTTATTTACTTAAAAAAACAAAATATAGCAAAAAAAAAAAATAATTTTAAAAAAATTTAAAATAGAATTAATTTTTCCCACTTTTGAGTTATAAAATTTTCTGAGACAGTATATATTTTTTTATGCATTATTTTGTATGTTTATCTTATCCTAACAAACGTATCTAATACAGAAATTACGAATATCTTTTCATACTAAACAAACACGTGATCATATTGCTATGAGTGATTTCTCTTAGTCAAGAAGAAGAATAATGCTTTCGTTTTGCAAAGACCTGTTGGTTTTTTATTAATGTTTTCTTAAATTAAAATTGCGAGAAACGATAAAAATGGTGGGTTTGCAAATAAAAATATGACTTGGAATTTGAACAGTGGTGGTTTTAAATAGTAAAATATGCTTGCTTCCTGTGTCATTATTGGAATACGAACTGATCAGCAATTCAAATATTTCGTCGAACTTGTATGTCCAAGTGTTTGTTTCACTGTTATGTGGAATGTGTAGCACACTATAAACATATAAAAGTTCATTCATCCAGGATAATGTGGAAAAATTTGTTGAAACGTTATTAACGATTTTGAATCGATACTGAATAATGGCATTTATTTTCCTTTCTGCAGTCGGTTACCTTACATACGGACGTGGGCGATATAAAAATCGAACTTTTCTGTGAGGATTGCCCTAAAGCATGCGAAAATTTCTTGGCTTTATGCGCAAGTGATTATTACAATGGTTGTGCCTTTATACGCAATATCAAAGGATTCATTGTGCAAACAGGTGATCCGACTAACACGGGGAAAAATGGACAATCAATTTGGGGAAGCAAATTTGAAGACGAATTCAAAGAGAGCCTTAAGGTAGATTCTAATATTATTAGTTTCGAATATCAATTTGAATATCGATTGTTTTCATGATTATTTTAAAGCATTCAGATCGCGGTATGATTTCTATGGCCAATAATGGACCGAATGCTAATGCCAGTCAGTTTTTTATCACATATGCTGCTCAGCCAAATTTAGATTTAAAGTATACTTTATTTGGTCGTGTTATAGACGGTTTCGATGCTTTAGATGAATTGGAAAAATTGCCGGTTAATCCGAAGACATATCGTCCTCATCTGGAGAAGAAAATCAATAGTGTTACTATACATGCCAATCCACTTGCATATATTTAATTAATGTAAAATTTTGAATAAATATAAATCATGTAAATCATTTAGCATTTAAGGTTTAACAGAACCAGGTTTTGGAATCACATTTAGCCACGTGAGTTGTAGTCGACTGCACTCTAAAGCTGCTTCCAATTCTTCCTTTAACTTCCAATATACTTTGTTTTCAGCATGATTATCATAATTCCTGCAAGTGTGGTTAATAGTGGTTTGTAGAAGCTATTAGTGGAAAAAATCAGCTAATGTCTTTATGTAAAAAAAAGCAATTAGCAAGCGATCCAATAAGCAAAACCAAAGCCAAAATTATGAAATAAAATTTAAAAAAAAAATAAGTAATATTATAGTTATACAATATATCTATTTAATAATGTGTACAAAATTTGTAGTCTACTTTTAAAAGAAAAAAATTTAAAAAAGAAACATATTAACTGACAAGTGGATTTCTTATTATTTAGAATTTCATTTTTTATAGAGGAGATCCATCTGAGATGCACATAGTTTCGCTTGGAATTTCGTTGGTGTTTCGTTGAGTTGTTTCTATTCATTAATGAAATTTGAGAATGGGTTTTTGCATTTAGCCGAAATAATAATAATAATATATTATGTATTAAGGGGGCTTAGATTTATTTATTATTAGTATAGACATTATATAAACATTATATAAATATATTATAATTTTAAAGTAAGCCTATAATGGTGTAGACCTACAGGGGAGCCAGCCAATTAAAACAATTAGCAACGCGCCTATAATGTTACCTCAAGGGTGGCGTGAAAAACCGTCTCAGCGGCTTGCTGAACCCGGAGCGTGGTAAGGGATTTGTGCAAGATAGTGGAAACGAGTGATAACCCGTCAATAACTAGTAGGCAAATTTCTATAGACTTCAACAAGAACCTAACGTACATTTTATGTGAAAACGAAGCTGTGATAAAAAAAACAAAACTTTTTTTCATATATACATGCGCGTGAAGCGATCCTTTCGACTTTAATATTTGTTTTGAATTAATATCTTAGCGCGTGGAGATCGATGATATTGAGAGATTACACCATCAGCTTTTTATTTAATCTACAATTAATTTTTCTCTTTTGCGTAAATTAATTAATAGCTACACTTGTTATTATAAATTTTATTTTCGAAGTAAATTGGAATATAATATGTAATAAATAGTACATTTTCTTTTTCGATAAAAATAAAATGAAAAATTTAAAATTATAATGCAACTTCTTTAAACTGCAATATTTAAAAAAGTTATTTTACTTTAAATACTCGCTAACAGTCCAATAGTCATAGAGTCTTGATATGGCGTCACATTCCCTCAAACATTTGCAATGCAGAAGCATATGGAATTCCGTATTTTTACACGAATATGCGCTCTGGTATAGATATAAGTACATATGTATGTACAAATGTAAGCCAAAAAATAGAAAGATAGAAAATAAGATTTCTTTTCCTTTTCATCGTTTACTTCACATTGAAGAATTCGAAGTTTTATGTTCGCCAAATGTTTTAATAAATTCCACTTGCTACGTGATTGAGTAAAAAAGCTCTTTTCTTTATTATTTAAAAAAAGTCCTTAAACATTTACAAAAACTAATTAAAAACAAAACGTTATAGACTAACTTTTTTTTGACAGTATAAGAACTTAACACATTTGTTTTTTTTTTTTTTTTTTTAAATGTATAAATGTATTTTTTTTTAAGGAAAAAAATAAATTGAAAACAGAAACAATTATATAAACAATTTCTAAGAAGATGGGCGATTGCTCTTCGATTTTTAAAAATTAAACTACAAAAATGTTTTCTTTTAATGTTTCCTTAGATTAAGTAAGTAAAAATAAAATTGAATGCTACTTATAGTTATACTTAAAACTTACATTATTATCATTTTTGTAAACTTAAACATTAATTATTGCCGGGAAAAAGAAAATTAATTTGAGATGAAAGGCTAAACAATTAATTTCAATAATAGACGAAAGTCAGTTATAACAAGTTTACTTAAAACTTAAGAAATTTCATTAATTCGATTTTGTCGAGTCAGTGTTGCTGGATGAACCATTGGTCACAGTTTTTTTACTAACGGTAGGATTTTGTTTCATATGCAACTCAAACATAGCACGTATATCGGCCAATGCTCTGCAAATGTTGTCAGCGAAACGATGTGCATCCTTAAAAATATTGAAATTAAAGACAAATTCTTAACGTACGACGCTTGTCGTTAAACTTACAGTTGTTTCGCATGACTTTTTGGCGGAAATGTGAAAGAATATTAGGTCTTCACCGGCAATAATGTATGAAACACCGTAACCGTCATCAGCTACGGGTCCAAAACCTCCGCCCGAACTAATGCACTGAGGATGTTTTTTCAAATCCATTTTCGGTGTTTGCCCGTGAGGAGTTTGACTAGTGGACAAACGCCAAGGTTCGCTTAAAACCTCATTGAGGAAGGGAGAATCGACTTCCAAATACTTGGACACCACATATAAGCAAAACAAATGTCGATCAATGCCATTGCCACACATCGCGTCCTGATAGCCCAACTGATGGCGTTCGCATGCTTCCTTTAATAAGGTCACACGTTCAGCAATCTTAAACAGGAAAAAAAAAATATTTTTTTTATCGCTGCACATTACAATTTTATGCATATGAATAAAATTTTTACCGTTTTTGTGGTATCATCCATTGCCTTGACCCAAGCTGCCGATTCTATGGTGCATGGACGTACTGTTTCGGTACGTCCTTCGCGGAATAGACGAGTCATTGAAGCTTCATAGGTTAAAGAGAACCGCCCAGCATCCCGATAATAAGCCAACTGCAAAGCCATTTGTATATAAGCATCTGGTGATAAGCGGCATTTCTTCATAAATCCTTTACCATATTGATTGTGTACCAAAATTCTTAAATCAATATCCTGAGTTATTTAAAAGAAAGAAGAAGAAGAATTTATTTTTTTAATTGCTTCTTTGAAATTTTTTCTTACACTTATTAGTTTATCAGCTGCTAAAGTTGCCTCCTCTATGCGATCCAAGCACGGTTCCAGTGCCCAACTAAGATGTACAGGTGAGGGCGGTTGAAATTCTGGTATGCCTTTGGTGTTACCATTCTCATCATATCTAAATATCGTTTTTGAAAAGATAATAATAATATAATAAAAGATATACCTCGAATCAAGTGATCGATAATTTCATTACTGCACCGCTGTTGCTGCTTGCACTCGCAGATAATACAATAAATTGTTCGTATTTATAAAGAATTAGCCTACGTTAAGTAATAAGTTGCGATTAAATGCTTAACCGTCACCACTGTTTTTCTGTTATTATTATTATTAAAGCACTAGATGCACTAGTGTATGTATTTCGTCTCTCTTTCTATACTTAAGGTATTTTGTGCCTTCTCCACTCGATGGCTTTTCAATAATTGGTAATAGAGAAAGTGTATGTGCTTTAGGTTTAGGTTACGTTCTTGAACATAACTTCAACAAATGATATGCCCACCGAAAAGAATCCACCTATTTTACTCGGTATATAAGGAAAGCGTGAAGAAGAAATTTTTTCATGTTAAGACGATGTCCATAAGGGAACCAACCCATTTTCTTTGGGGTTTTTGAGGTTATGTTGTATTTCAGTCTCTTTTGATCTTTAACCTTGGAATAGCGCACGTCGCGTTCTAGCACAATAAATTTTCCTATTCCACGGCACTAATATACGATCGCCACCATTGTTCCCATAAATGAACAATAAAAATATATATTTCATAATGATTCTACGTCAATACGATGCAGAAGTAAGAGAAAGTGTTCGAGAAGAGATCGTATTTACCTATTGTGTTGGTAGTGGTGATTGAAAATACTGTATTCACGTGGAATTGTTTATTCACTTAGCAATTTTATCACCAATTTAAGGCGAATTTTTAGTGTCAAGGAATTTGAATAAGAAGAAGTGAGAAAAAAACCGAAATGAAATGTTGCGTCTTCGGCAAAAGGCTTTAATTGCAAGTGACGTAGAACTCTACAAATCCTTATTATACTAGTTCCAACAGATTGCATGGTTGAAACTTTTGCAAACCTTTTCCAATTAAATCGGTGGATGTCACAGTGTTTGGTTTAAGGTGATAACTTTTGGAAACTTTTTCCGATTGAATCGGTGTGTGTCATAGTGTTTGGTTTAAAAACTGTCTTCGCGTACTTTTGAACCGATGTCTTACCCGTAAAGTATTAATAATAATTTTAGAGTAGAATTTAGTTAGTATTTGGATTATTGCAGCAAGTAAACGATGCAAAAAATATCTTATAAAAAAATATATACGTAAAGATACTTCAATTAGTAGGGATTAGTAGGGTTAAGAAAAAAAAAAAAAAGAAAGCAAAGAAAAGAAATAAAGAGAAAGAGAGAAAAAGTGGGGTTGCAATTGGTTAGGTAAGGTTAGTTAGGAGCTTAAGCATTACCCATCAATATCATCAGCAAATATATATTCCCAAGTGTGACCCATCACCGGAGCATCAGCCCTATAATTAAAGAAGTCAGCGCAAAATAAAAGTAAAAATAAAATAAAAAAAAAAAAAAAAAACAAAGAAATCATAAAAATTAAACTCAATATCAATTTTGAAAAACTGCGTAAAAAAAATGAAGAGACATATAAGAAATGAAAATGAAATAAAAAATGTAATTAAATAAAAAAACTTTTAACCCTTTTATGTAAGCACTGATGGGTGAAACTTGGGATTAATTTTGAAAGGTAAAAAAAAAAAAAGCAAACTCAACAAACAACCACCGTTGATGATGATTAAGGTAAGGCGCGGGCCCCTAACACCTCAAATTTTTATTTTTTTTTTTTTTTTGTTTTTGTTTAGAATCAATCATTCAATCAATCAATCAATCAATTATCATCACATTACCCATCGGTGAGTAAGTCATCCATTATCAAATTTTCCCACATATGAGCAGCAATGGCAGCGTCGGCCCTTGATTTTGAATTTATAACAAAGAAATTCGATTTTAATGTGAACAGACACAAATGTATAAATGTATAAATAAGTATGTGTGTGTGAGCGTGTATATATATATATATATATATATATATACATATATGTGGAAATGTTTGAGATAAAATATGTAAAAATGTTTGTTGGAGAAATTCTCTTAAATTTTAAAGGGTTTCACTTACCAAGTATGTTCGGCATTGAAACCCACTCGTCCATTCGTACCCACGCATACGGTAAAACTTTTATCAAACCAACGATTATAGCCATTGCCATGCAATAATGTCCGACCGAATTCATCGAGCAGCTCGGGACGCTGCAAATCGAATTCGTAGGGCTTTTCATCCAAAGACACAACGAAGGCGGCCGTTTCAATCGCATTCAAGGAAACGCGATTAGGACCTCGAATGAAATAAGTGTTACGTGTCTCAGCCCATTTAGAACGATCCCAAGCCGTTAAAGCGGCCAAATATTTCTCTCCAGGCATTGGCGTAGCAGTTGACTTGAGTATTTCTTCTATTTGTCTATTGTTTCATGAAAATGAATGATGAAATTTTTCAAAATTTTCTAAATTGTCTAAATTTTCTTTCCTTCAACTTACACTTGCATTTCGCAGGGTCTTAACAAGCGACCCTTATGATATATGGGCACTTTGTAATAGCAACCTTTATGCAAGACAACAACATGATTTGAATCCCGATAGTGGACAATACGATCTGTCTCTAAACCGGGCACTCGAACCGTATTAAAAGTGCGTTCATATTGCCAAGAACACAATGGAATCATGCCTTGAATCAATATCTGCAAAGAAGAAAAAAAGCAAAAAAAAAAAAAATGAAGAAAATAGTGCAAAACCTTAAGTATTCTAATCTCAGCTCATTCTCACTTACCGGTTGCATTTCTTGCCTTTCTATCGAACGTCTAAAGCATAACAATAGGTATATAACATTAGCTGCCCGGGCCGCTTGATTTTGCGTCAAATTCATGAATATAGCATCAGTTCCATAAAAGTTGCTATTAATCATTAAAGGACTACGTCCTCTTAGATAAACATATTCCTCCCACCAATCCGATACATAATTCGTGGACCACCAACTTTTCAATATCAAATACCATTGAAGCTTTTTACCAATTGTATGCTCAAACTCACTGGCTAATCGTTCCATTTTTTTGATATTTCTCATCATCCAATAATGGACGCACCGATCGTAAATACCGTGTCATAGTGTCGTGAACAGATGGCGCTGGTAATCTAGGCAGCGAACCTTGAAAACTATATAAACCAGGTTTATTCCAACTTGAGAATAATTTCACAGCACCGGCCCATAATTTCGTTCGTAAAGATACTTTACTGCCCGGCGCTCGAGATTCATACATCCAGCCTTTATACATTAATAGCAGCTTTAGCGTGTAACGCATTGTAAAACATATTGATAACCAGACGAACAGTGAGGCCAGAAAACAGGCCAATATTTGCCAATTTATTGTATTCGAGGGAAAATTTATGAGTAAACGATTAACTAAATTAAAAGGTACGTGTAGACCGGCAAAATGCAAGCCCAAAGCAATGGCTGTTATCACCCATAAACTTTGTATATGAGCCGGATAGACGCCATTTCGGATGCCATTCTATTAATAAAAGAAAATTAAAATAATTTCATTAATTGTAATAAATTTTTAAAAAGCTTACATTAGCTCGCGCTAAACGTTTCTTCCAAGAACGTATACCAGAATTCCATACTAAATTTAAGACTTCTTGGTCGTAATTGATGTCAAAACCTTCATGGGTAATGGCAAATGAGAAAGCTACGGCTTGATGGGCTTCAGCCATATTGAGAGCCCAATATTACCCTCCAGTTGATATTATATTTGTTTCAAGTTAACTGTAAATAAATTCAAAATAAAACTTTATCAACACAAAGGTTAGGTAAGGTAATGATAAGCTTAGGTTTTGCTAATAGTTGTACGTCTTCTTGTGCCTTTTACGAATGCTTACTTAGGGTATTTTTATCTTTCTTAATAAGCTCATAAAAAAGAAAGAGCAAACATTGTTGAAGAACAAGAAGAAGAAGAAGAAATAGTCATATTTAATAAATGTGGTGAATGGAAGGAAACCGCTTAGGAAAGCCTATCGCTTTTTATTAGCTTTAAAGACTTTGACGACGATTTCCTTCATTTTTTCCTCGCAAAGAGTAGAGTGTTTCGTCCAGTAATTGTGGGAATTTCCAGCCTTTGAACTTTTATAATTTCTGAGTAACGAGCAACAACCCATAAATTTTTGTTAAGAAAAACGAAGTTGCGTTCATTTCATGCCCCACTGCTGGCTTCTGCTCTGAGCAATTTGGACCACTTTCAATATCAACGTGCTTTCAATGTTTCTACCAAATTTGAAGCGGATGTCTTCATTTTGGCGACCAGGAGAGTCCCATACGGACGGACAGATATGGCTTAATCAATTCAGAATTTCACCCTATATACTTTATAGGGTGTTTGAAGCGTCCTTTTGGGTGTTACATACGTGATGGAAAAAAACAAAATGACTATACATACTCCCAACCTTCAGCGGTGGGTATGAAAAATATTCTTCACTCTATTTACTAAAATATAATCTTAATTAGAAATTGAATTAGTTGTCGTATTAAGTAGCTTGGCAGTACTGATCCGATTTTCAAACGCACAAGATTGGCTAAGCGGAAGACATATGCTCTGAGTATTAAGCCATGTTCGCACTATTAGAACTAAACAAGCACTTATCATAACGCGTCGTTCTCATTAAAATTGCTAAAAGCGATATATAGGAAAAGAGAGAGAGAGAGAGAGAGAGATAGAGAGAGAGAGAAACAATTCAAAGTCCTTCACTGTGAATTTTATACTCCTCATCTGCATTGTAAGACCTCCAAGCGAAAATAAGATAACCGCAAACTTATCTCGAGATACTATCGTTATGTACCGTTTGGTATATACGAGTTCTTAAAATAAAAAGCTGATAAAACTGAGCTAACCTACTTAAGTGTATGATATGCGAACAATTTGCAAGGGTAAAGATAAACGGTAAAGATAATCGCAATCTTAACGCTGAAATCTCACATAGCAATTCATAGCTACTATGAGTATTGTTATTAATATTATTATTACAATATTTTTTTGGACTAAAGAAATGAATCCTGAGATTAAAACAAGTAAGAAAGTTATATTCGAAGGGGGTCGAAGCTTGCATATCCACCAGTACACTTTTGGCATTCCATTCTCCCAGCTCTTTTATTTGATACCCATATCGCTGGTATTATTAAGAAAAACTTAATCGCGATGTCGACCAAATTCATTTTACAATGAACCCATTTTTAGGCAGATAGTACATCTTCATTTGGGGAGTATAGTTTTTTTTTGGAGTATAGTTTTAAACGTTTTGTTTAGTTTGCCGTATGATAAACAAACAGTAAACCTCAAAAAAGTGAAAAAATTAAATTAATTTACTCGTAATTTTGTGTGGACAAGGCCGATTAGTTTCATTTTTGGACTTAGAGAGTAAAGCGTCTCGTTAAGCATAGGTGGAAAGTTTGAGCCATCTAACTTTAATAATTTCCGTGTAACGAGCAAAAATCCAAAATTTTTGTTAACAAAAACTGAGTTGCGTTCAGTTTACCCTCCATTGCACGCTTATTCGCTGATCAATTTGACCCATGTTCAATATCAACCTGTGTGCAGAAACTTCCAACATTTCCACTTAATTGGAAGTCTATATGTTCATTTTGGCGACCATGAGAGTGCCAACAACGCACAACACAGAGAGGCATAGACGAAAGGACATGGAAAAATTGATCACGCCTACTCAATAGATATATTATCACCCTTTAATTTTTTTTCAATACTTTTAAGGTGCAGAAAGAAGCTTCATAAACCCCATAAAGTATACAAATTTTTGGCCTGTTTCAAATTTAAAATGCAGCTAAATATGTCCGTCTGTCCATCAATCTGTCTACGCAAATGTGCAGTATTTGTAGCAAACAATCTTTCGCTAGCGAAAGTGAAGAAATCGCCTACAAATTTGAAAAAGCTTTTGAAAGTGATGTAAACTTTTCAAAGGACACACCTACAACGCCCACGCGCCTATGCGATAAACCCTGTCTTTCGAAAATAGAAAAAATCATGTTATGGAGCATGAAAATTTTGTTCTTTTGTTTCTCTTGGCTTTATTAGGGTATGAAAAATTCGGGCACAACCGAACATAATTTTCTTACTGATTTTTATTGGCTTAAATAGGCCACTGAAATACGCGAAAACGATATAAAAAAAAAAAGATTACGACGCGTGCAAATTGCTTTAAAATTTTATCTTTATCCAATTTTTGTTCAGTAAATTAATATTCGACGATTCGCTCACGGTTTGTTTGCGAGCGATTTAAAAAAAAATTCAATTAGTTAATTTAAATATCAATTTTTCGAAAGAAGGCCAAAAAGTTAAAGTGTCGATAGGATCACGCCGGATCGAAAAAGGAGTGTATTTCAATTTCGATCGGTTAATAATGCTAAAGATAATAATAAATTTTGATTCATATTCTTTGAAAAATTTGGGTTTCGCTGGACATTTGTGACTTTTATAGGGCACAGCAGACCACGTCTCCGCTTTGTTTTTAAAATTTCTAAAACTATTTTTTATTTTTTTTTTATTTACTTAAGGAGTTGTATCTTGGGCACAGCAGACCACGCCTCCGCTTTATTTTTAAAATTTCTAAAACTATTTTTTTTTTTTTTATTTACTTAAGGAGTTGTATCTTCATATCTGCAAACTCGCTCACTATATTTTTAGTGAACACAAATCACCTTAAAATCCCTTTAACTTTCTTTTCTGCAAGCAGTCACGTTTTGTGGGCATTTGCATAAATGAGCTAAAAGAATTTTATCTTAGATATCATGCTAATTAGGTTGAAACGGTTAGTAACTATACACAATACTTTCAAAAGTAGTAAAGTAAAAAAAAGTTAGTAAAGAAAAATATAGAACATATCTCTTTCTCTTTGTTTAGATAGGAAAATATATTTTCAATTAAATAAAAAACAGTTGGTTTTGAATTTGAAATAATGAAAGTTAACACTAGAGCCTGAGTCAATTTGATTTTCTTCAAATAAATGGTTATAAGACAAGTAAAGCTTTATACAGTTGCCTTTGAATTTGAAATAATGAAAGTTAACACTAAAGATATCGCGTGGGTCAATTTGACCTTCTTCAATTTTTAAGATTCAATTAAATGGTTATAAGACAGGTAAAGCTCTAAAATATTTTGCCGATTTTCTCCAATATCCTTTAGAATAAATTGGGAAATTAAATGTTACCATTATGTACGGACGCGTTAGGAAAGGATTCTGACGAACGTAGGGTCCGAATAACTTTTCGAAAATATCTTTCTGGTATCGAAAATTTTAGACGAATATATGAAAAATATTTTGTTTTCTTTTTCCGGATTATCTCCGTTCCTTTTATATTAATGTGGCATGTGAATAGATCAAATTCGTTTTCTTAATTAAGAAATATTTATGCCATGGTGCAGCTTCATATGTTTATTTACGCGACTATCGGCTTCCCATAAGGTTTATGGATCAAATTGACCCAAAAGGTATATGCAAAACGCCGGTTTTTCTAGCGTTAAGTTTATTTTAACTGAAAGTGGTATTACGATTGACTTTTAATGTCTTTTTATATCAAAGGTTTGACTGTAGGTGGCCAAATGTCGACTGTGCAATTATAGTGGACACCAGCAACTACCCTAAATCACTCCACAGTTATTGATATAATGATTTTTCAAAACTAGGCAGCATCTATAGGTTAAACACAAGCAAAAAGTCGAACAAATGGACAGACGGACAGACAAGTTTAGATTGATGCAGAAAGTGTTTCTGAAACGACCGCTATAATAAAACGTAGACCTCTTTCAATATAGACTCTGACGACAAATAGCGTAAGGTATAAAACAAAACTTTGAACAGTGCTACCCAACCACAAAAGTATAAATAAGATTTTTAATCGAAGTCAAGAAAAGAGAAAAATGAAAATTTCCTCATGAGCTGATCTGGGTTGGTATTATATAAAAGCCTAACAAAAAGACAAAAGAAAAGTATTTACGTAAAAATCGGTTTAATAAAAGCTTTAACAAGAAAAAAATTTTGAAAATCGAAAAATTATCTCCCTCGAGTAACAAACAATTTCACTTTGACAGTAAAGTCATTAATTGAACTGATATGCGATTGATTAACGCGGCAAGACAACTGTTACGTAATGTTTAATGTTTAATGTTTAATCTTACGGAAATAGTAATTATAGAATTTTTAATTTCGTCGCAAGCTGATATCAAAATTGTTATGAAATAAATTTCAAAAGAATTTCGCGTCAGTCAATGCATTTCAAAATAAATTTCTATTAAATTGATTATTATTATCGCAAAAACCGAATTGCGTTTGTCTTGAAAGAAAGGCTCGTGCACTCGTGTAGTTTACAAAATCACCGCATAAATATGGAAATAATCTAATGTTATAACAACAACAACAACAACAACAACAACACACTTGCACTTTGAAATGCTGAAGCATTTGTTTACAAAATGATTAAATATCACAGCTAAGAGCACGGGAGACACATATATTACACATTACACAGGTTATATGACCATCGACTACCTTGATAAGAATTGCAGTGAAAAAGAAAATAAATAAACATCAATTAAAATGTAAAAAAAAAAAAAAAAACGCAAATATAATCAAATGACGTAGTAGAAATTTTTTTTTTTTTTTTTTTGTTTTGATTTTTTTATTCAAATATTCTGCAAATTAATTGGTTTAACTTAATTTATTTGACACTATTTTTAAACTCATATGAACACATTTTCATTAAAG